GTTATGCTTAGAGTCCAGAGCCTCGATCATAACATTATAACAAGCACCTTCCGAGTAGAGACCTGCACGATCGCGGGACCTAACGGGACAACATTTGATGGGCGATTGCGGGCGGGTAGAGACTCGTGTGCGGGATGCGGGAGAATAAGGGTGTACTCACACTAGGCATTTTGAAACGTGCCCGAACATAGGCGGAAATCCCGGGGGGTCGGGGGGGACAGGACCCCTTCTATCTGAGGGTTGTCCTCCCTCAAAATATGATTAAAAACCACGCTGTGTATTGTAAATAACAATGTTTTATACTTTAAATAATTAAAGGTAGTAAAACAATACAAACAGGGCAAAAATGCATTTAAGTTTAGAAACATTTTGAGTTTCCCCCTCCCTTGCCTCACAGTGCTTTGGTCCAAATGCCTGCTTTCCTCTTTTACATCACCTACCACCACACAAGTCCAGTAAGAGAGAACAAAGTCAATAGTTGTGGAACTTCAGTAAGTAAGGCTGTCAAGGCTATTTTATTCACTTAAACATCGGATGAAGTGATTATTTTCTCTTTAATACAGATGATGCCAGTGTATTTTTCAATGAGTCACTATGTTAGCAATAATAACGTTACTTGCTTGACGGAAAGGGTTGCCAGGTTTTCACAACAAAACCCGCCCAACTGCTACTCAAAACTAGCCCAAACTAACCGCGTTTCGAGGGGTCCCCCCAGTAAAAAATGCATTGCGGGGACTAAAATACATGTTATTTGGGTCGCTTCAACCCGTGGAAATGAAAACAACCCGCGGCAACAGTGATAAAGTAGCCCAATTCCACGGGAAAACCGCAGACCTGGCAACACTGTGATGGATAGTAATGTCTACAATGGACACAACCGCTGTCTCGGTGCATTGTCTAATTTGGCACAGTCTCTCTGCTGCACTAATAGTAGTAAGGCTTTTCTCTGTGCATACATATCCTCCTTACAAGTACAATTTTAGCTGTATTATTTGTGTCCCCTTCAAAAATTGCTCTTGAGAAATTTTATGTTTATTGTCCCCCCCCCAACTGTTAGATGAAATTTACGCCCCTGTGCCCGACCGCATTTGACCCGGGCGCGGTTCGTTTAGCCATCCCTGGCTTGGTTGGAAGAGGTGGGCCAGAGCATGGTTCAGTTATATGTAGATCAGTGAGTGTGAGCGCTAACCGCGCCGGAGCGCAGAATTTCTGATACCTGCAGCACGATTGCATGAACATTTCTGAGCGGCAACCAGTGTTGGGGAGTAACTAGTTACATGTAACGACGTTACGTAATTTAATTACAAAATAAATGTAACCGTAATCAGTTACAGTTACTAAGAAAATGTTAACGATTACATTTGAATATTTACACACATCCACAAACAGATTTAATTGATTTCTTTCCCAAATTGCACTGATTACGCTGAGACATACGGCCCTATAATTTCCGCGATTTACATTTTAAATAGGGTAACTTGTAATCTGTAACCTATTACATTTCCAAAGTAACCTTCCCAACACTGGCGGCAACAGTGATAGATCTGTAAAGCAATATATTGTGACAGGGCCGTGTGTTACCGCGTCCCAAACGACTAAAAATAATAAACCACAAAGTTAACAAAACGATGCCCTTCTGCTGTCTTCACATGCTATCGGAAACTTCCTATTTCCCACTTATGAAGTCGTGATTTAGAGCACGTTGCATTCTTTTAATTATTTAATTATTAAAAATAACAGTGAACAGTGGTTTGTGAATGTTGATGCTTAGCCTAAATAATTTTATCTGGAGCGTTCATGTGAGCACCGCTGCCCTCCCCAAATGCTCTCATTGGTTGAGAGGCGTCATGACACCCATCCCAAGCCAGTACTGATCAACATCCCACTCCTCCTGTGACCCATGGTTTGACTGTATGTGAATTCAGAGCCAGTGAGCAACAGACTAAATAATAATAAATAATAATAATAATAAAAACTGCGTTAATGCGTGGTAAAATAATTGTCTGTGTTCATTAATTGACGTGACGTGAACCGTGAAAGTGACATGTGGCCAAGTATGGTGACCCATACTCGGAATTAGTGCTCTGCATTTACCCATCCAAAATGCACACACACAGCAGTGAACACACACAAACCGTGAACACACACCCGGAGCAGTGGGCAGCCATTTATGCTGCGGCGCCCGGGGAGCAGTTGGGGGTTCGGTGCCTTGCTCAAGGGCACCTCAGTCGTGGTATTGAAGGTGGGGGAGAGCGCTGTACATTCACTCCCCCCACCTACAATCCCTGCCGGTACGAGACTCGAACCCACAACCTTTGGGTTATGAGTCCGACTCTCTAACCATTAGGCCACGACTTCCCCTTAACGCAATTAATTAATGCGTTAATGCGATGATAACGCGATAACTTGCCCAACTCTAGTTAAATTATTGTTGTTGTTGTTGTTATTAATTTAAAAGTGAATCTAGTGTTCTTTAGCATTGCTGGTGCCATGACATGAACCCTGCTCTCACATCAAACAGAACCGAACCGTGGCTCCAAAACTGAGATATGAACCAAACCGTGGCATTGGTATATCATTACACCCCTAGACAAGACACATTTTTAGCCTCGATTAGTTTTGGTTTTAATTTTGTTCATTATCCATAGAAGGAAAATGAAAGAGAATGTCGACACATTAATACAATCTTACCGCAGTATCTCCAGTTTACAGAGAGGATCTTTCAGTCCAGCAGAAAGCAGATTCAGTTCTGATGCTCCTAGTTCATTTCCAGACAGATCCAGTTCTTTCAGGTGTGAGGGGTTTGATCTCAGAGCTGAAGCCAGAGCAGCACAACATTCGTCTGTGACTCCACAATAACTCAACCTGTAGAGAACAATGACACTCTTCAGTCTCTCAGTTCAGAATCTACAGCTCATATAAGCAGGAACTTCACTATCAGAAAGAGAGACTAAATCCACAACACAATTTACAGGTCCAGTCTATTGTGATTTGATGTGTAGGCCAATTATGGCAACCCATACTTGGAATTGTGCTTTGCATTTTACCCATCCAAGTGCACACACACAGTGAGTGAGCAGTGAGTAGTGAGCACACACACACACACACACACACACACACACACACACACACACACTGTGAACACACACCCAGAGCAGTGTGCAGCACCGGGGAGCAATTGGGTGTTCGGTGCCTTGCTCAAGGGCATCTCAGTCGTGGGTAATCAGGGTGGAAGAGAGAGCTGTTCATTCACTCCCCCCACCAGCGTTCCCTTCCAGTACTGAGAATCGAACCGCAATCTTCAGATTACATCAAAATCAACAACATGTATGTTAGACCCTATACAACTAAGCTAATGAAAGAGATTATTAAAAAAACATTCATTAAAAAAAGCACAACTTCCTAAAATTAGTTAACTACAGACTGATCTTGAATACCCCTTTTATTTTCAATAATTCTAGAAAAGGCAGTATCCTCACAACTTGCTTTGAACATCCAATCTTGGTTGTATCATTCTTTTGACAAAAAATTATGTTGGCATTAGTGGAAATGCATTGGCATTATCAATTTGTAGCAGTAAATGATAGGGCTGGAAAAATAAATCGATGCATCGCAAATCAAGAAATGATTCTGCATCGGTTATGAGATTTTCCGAATACAACGCAATTCTCTCTCTAATCGATTCTGAGCTTAGTTTTTAACAGCAGATGGCACTGCATGCTTTAGAAACAGCCGTACTCTGCTTGCTTCCAACTCCTTACACACACTTGAACCTAAAATAATCATTCACAAAGTTTGAAAAGGTTGAAGCGAATTACAAGGGTGTTAACAGTGGGCTGTGTTTACATTAATCTCATGTCATAAAAGCATTCTGAGCCGAGGTGCCATTACATGACTTAACCGAATGCACAAGCGCTCTTCTTCGTGAGCATTTTAGTGTGTGGTTAAAAACTAGATTAGAGCACCATCTGCTGTTAAAAACTAAGCTCAGAATCGATTCCGGAGAGAATTGCGATGCATTCGGAAAATCTCAGAATCAATCCACAAATCGCGATGCATCAATTTATTGTCACAGCCCTAGTAAATGAAGAGGTATCACATCAATCCCTAGTTCAGTATGGAGCACCGCAAGGCTCAGTACTAGGACCTTTGCTTTTCACCCTGTACATGTTACCCTTGGGAAATATCATTAGGAAACATGGAGTTAGATTTCACTGTAATGCTGATAATACTCGGCTCTATATTTCTTAGTGGCCAGATGAAACATACCAATTCATAAACACAATGCATAGTTGATATAAAAAATTGGATAAGCAGTCATTTTCTTACTACTAAATTCGGAAAGGTTTTAATTATTGGACCAAAACCCTCTACATGCAATGACCTAGAATACTCTCTAACACTTGATGACTGCTCTGTCAAATTTTAGTCATCTCTTAGGAACCTAGGTGTGCCGTTTGATAGTAATCTGTCATTTGATAGGCACAGCTCTAACATTAGTCAATATGCACGAGCCTACCAAATTGACTTCATCCGAGGGGAATTTCATTGAAAGATTTAAGATCCATTAAACTGATCTGTGCCCGGGGAAACACTGTGTTATAATCTGGCCCTGAGTACAGTTCACAAGCGTGACACATTGACATAGACAAGGTGAAATAAAACTTATTTTGGCAGCGATTAATCGTGATTCATCGATTTTACAGCCCTAATAGAAAGTGTCAGAATAATTACATTTTTTATGTAAATACCCTCAAATCCTCAACACACATCTGTATGACATAAAGCAGTTGTTGCTGTCACATCATCCACTCATCTTATTCTATTGCAAAATTCTACATTGCAAAATTACATCAAAACTTTGGAAAGAATGTAGTGAAGATTAAAACAACATTCACTTCAATTTTCTGAAAGGACACTTTAAGATTTGATTTTAATTTCATTCATACAGGCCACAGGAATAAATGGGGGAGGATGTTGAGACATTCATACAATCTTACCGCAGTATCTCCAGTTTACAGGGAGGATCTTTCAGTAGATCAGAGAGCAGATTCAGTCCTGACGCTCTAAATTTATTCATTGACAGATCTAGTTGTCTCAGGTGTGAGGGGTTTGATCTCAGAGCTGAAGCCAGAACAGCACAACCTTCATCTGTGACTCCACACTCACTCAACCTGTAGAGAACAATGACACTCTTCAGTCTCTCAGTTCTGGATGTACAGCTCAGATAAGCAGGAACTTTACAATCAGAAAGAGAGACTTAATCCACAGCATGATTAACAGGTCCAGTCTAAGGTTCAGACCCACTTCTACATGTTGCTTGAGGGGGGTTCAATATTAGTCTGAATATTTCAATTTCTTTATGCGAGTACCACAAACAGACCTTGGAGGAGCAGAGGATAAATCACGATCGGAGGACAAAAGCGCTGGGGGGAAGGGGTGTTTGGGGGGACATGGGGTTTCCCCCTCGGTAGCAATTGTGTTCCATAGGCACCTCGGACCAAAAAGGCACTTTAGTTTTGGCGATTAAAGGGCCAGGGGCTCGAGCTCGAGTTTTATATCTGTCTCGTGGATTCTGTGAATAACGTGCCATGCCACTTATTGTTAACACAGCCTCTTGATATGAGGGTAAAGTGATATTGTCTTAAATTTGCTTCACATGACATAGTCAAGCAAAATCACGTAAGCAAGAGTGCTGATTTTCCCAATTATCAGCACGGTTGCAATTTGAAGATTGGATTTTGATTTCATACAGTTCAGTAAACTAGAATCTAATATCGCTAATTACATTTTAGACACAATTTTTGATACGCTTCTCATAGCATTATTTATGCACCTGCAGTTGCCAGTTTATGTGCAATAACTAATGTTATTATGCAAATACCTCTTTATTATTACGTCCTGTAGGAACATTAAAAAATAAATTAAAAAGGTTTTGTTTTATTTAGCATCCAATAAAAGGTAACATACTTGTATTTATGCATGAAAACAGTTTATTTTACCAGCTTATACATAGATGCTTTACAAAACAAAAAACCTTTAAATGAAACCATCACGCTTGGTTCCCAGAATAGGAACGAGATGCTGCGTCGCTGACGATATGTGACAGTTGTCTGAAACCCTTATACCATCCCTTATACCAATTAATTGGCTAGTGGCGCTTTAGACCATCTTAAGAGCGTGCTCGCGCCATCTCAGCTCAGATCTTTTCATTAAAGAAGCACTTCGCAAAGCAGGAGAATGGCCGGCAACGCAGCGTCTCGTTCCCTATTCAGGGAACCGAAGTTACATACATAACAGAGGAGATCCCTTTCATAGGTTCACTCCACGCTACATCGCTGACACTATAAGAACAGTATAGCATAAAGACTTCGACTACATTTGCGGGTTTATCTGGAAGACCAAGGACAGTGTCCAGTTCAAGACCTGGGAGCCAGGTGCCATCCCCACATCCAGACCATAACACCCGATAAGTGTGCAGAGAGGACAATCCTGCTGCAACACAAATATCCACCAAAGGAAGAACCCTTAAACAGAGCCTGGAAAGACGCCATTCCTCCATTTTGCAGAATGAGTATGAACACCAGCAAAGCCAAACAACGTGCCTCATGGGCCGCAGAGATAGCAATAGTCACCTAATGAGACATCCTCTGCTCGGTGACAGCCATTTGACCATCAGAACTATGCTCAAATAGATGGTCCATCAAACCTTCTAGAGCAGGGGTGTCCAAACTTTTTTTTAAAGGGGGCCAGATTCAATGTTGTGGACACACCAGGGGGCCAATTCATATCAAAATATGAATTTTGATATATGAATAATGAATAACTATAATATCATATCTATCTATGTGTCTTAATCTATCATATCTATCTATTATATAATATAATGGCATTTAGTATATAAATATACTAAATAATATGAACACATTTATTTAATATAAACAGAACTGCTTATAACAAAATGTCTGTATAATTTGGCCTATATTTCATTACTTCCTTAATACATTCAATTGGCCTACATGTCTACATTGATAATATAATAAAATCTGATATGAAAATTCTACATTTCTGCCACAATACCACAGTTAGTGTTACTACAGTAAATCCATTGTAAATGTTGCAGATTTGTGGATTGAAAAGTAGGCTATTCTAATTGGATTTCTGTTGCAATGTTTCTCCTGTTTTCCGCGTCGTTGTTGAGAACGTTAGTGCGGTTTAATCTGGCTTTAAACTTGTTTAAATCACCTGTGGTTTATATCTGTCACGAAACACACACTGGGAACACGGGAACGAAGGAGCGAGGAGACGAAGAGTGAAGTAAATCAAAAGGATTTTAATGAAGGCACGCTGGGGATCACAGGATGGGAGACATCAGGCAAACAAAATGACATTTAACAGCAGACAGAGAACTAGGAACTGAGAACACTATAAATACAAAGACACCAATGGACACACCTGGGAGCAAATTAACTAATTAATCAAACACAGCTGGAGACGAATACACACAATGAGGACAGGAACAGGAAGGACCAAATAAGGGCAAGGAAGGCACATGAGGAGCAAAACACAAACAAAACACGGACCAGAGTCTGACAATATCGGAGATCTCTGCTCCAAACTCAAATGTTTCTCACTGGATCTCTCAGTGCTGTTTAGTGGTCGCAAGATCGTGACCAGTCAGTGAGTTAACGCATTTGTTCTGAGCTTGTGCTGCGCTATCTTTAGGCAGAGCTAATAATGTTCCTATAGCATCAGCGACACAGCGTGGAGTGAACCTATGAAAGGGAAGCAATGCTACAGCCTCTAAAACACTGGTCCTGGCGATGTGCACTTTTTACAGCAATGATGTTATTTTTGTGTGCAAACAAGTAAACTTGTGGATGCAGCGAGTATAAACCAAGTCTCAGAAAGGTTCAGATTCTTTGAAGACCGACATGCTAACATCACTGCTGAAGAACTGTGCTACACTGCTACCTTCAGTAAATTGGTTTCTTTGGTTTACTTATTTTATGTATTAGAGAAATCAAATACAATGACAAAACACTCAATGACTGCTCAGTCAAATACAGGAAATTCTAACGGTGTAGACCCGCTTCTACATGGGGATCATTTCAATATCATAGAAAATGCCAGAATCGTTCAATTTTTATGTAAATACCCCTAAATCCTCAACACATTTGTATGATATATAGCAGTTGTCACTTTCACATTATCCACTCACCTTATACTATCATCATAAACATAGTAAAATTACGTCAACACTTTGTAAGGAATATAATAAAGATTAAAACAACATCTTCAATTATATAACAGGACACTTTAAATTTAAATTTACATTTTAATTTTATTCATACTGCCATAGGCAGTAAAGCAAAATGGAGGAGAATGTTTATTCATCTTACCGCAGTGTTTCCAGTTTAAAGTGAGGATCCTTCAGTCCATCAGAGAGCAGCTTCAGTCCTGAGTCTCCTAGTTTATTCAGAGACAGATCCAGTTCTCTGAGGTGTGAGGGGTTTGATCTCAGAGCTGAAGCCAGAGCAGCACAACCTTCATCTGTGACTCCACACTTACCCAACCTGTGGAGAACAATGACACTCTTCTGAGTTTGCATTCTCAGTCGGGCCCAAAAATGGACACTCCGTCCCCCTTTTCTCCCCAATTGCAACAGAGTCAGTGCCAGAGCCCTCAGTTAAAATCGTGGTCTGGTGATGGGAGTAGATTTATGATTGAAAAACTGATGTTTTGTATTGACTATCTCTGAATTGATTATGTAATTGCATGATACATGTTTACCTTACTAATAATAAACGGTTACATTTGATTTTATTCAGAATTCTGAAATTACTGGCTCTAGTAGAGAACATTAAATCCACGCTACTATAAATCTATGTCCTGGGCTAAGTATATGCTTGAATTTGGGGTAGATGGAGCATGTTTAGTGTATTTTATTTTTCTTATATAGCACATTTCTACTGCTACAAGAGCAAAGTAATCAAGAAAACCAAACAGAAGCAATAACAAAACAGAGCATCATAAAAAAAAAAGATATTTAGGTCTCTCCTAAATCAGACTGAAAAGCCAAGATATAAAAGTGCTTCTTCAAAGCCATTTTAAAAGCGATCAGTGATGGGGCAGAGCGGATGTCTAGCGGTAAGTTATTCCATAACCGAGGTCTGGCTATCGAAAAGGCTGATCACCTTTTCGCTTGAGTAGGGACCGTGGTACCTGGAGAAATAGTTTATCAGTAGAATTCTTTACTGGCTTATGTAGAGTAACAAGATCTAATAATAATAAATAATAATATGTTTACTTTATATAGCGCCTTTCCCAGGCTCAAGGATGCTTTACAAGGTACACCAATAGAACAAAAACCCATTACAAAATAACAATTAAGTGGACATTGGACATTTGCCCAATCCAGTCACAAATAATGCAGTTGCATAAAACACAAATTAAGTAATAAAGACATAGAAAAGAATACATATGGAACAAATACAAGATCTGACAAATACAAGGACGTAAGACCACTTAAAATTCTAAAAATTATGAATAGGATCTTGAAATAAATCCAATATCTAACCAGTAACCATTGCAGGGATGTTAAAATCAGAGTGAATCTGTCCCTCTTTCTCATACCGGTCAATAGTCTAGCAGCAGCATTTGGAGCAAGCTGCAATCGATTTACCAGTGACTGAGAAATTTCTAAATACACATCCAATTTAGATGATATAAAAGCATGGATGATCGTCTCCCAATCTCTACACTCTTAAAAATAAAAGTGCTTAAAATGTTCTTCACAGCATTGCCATAGAAGAACCATTTTTGTTTCCACAAAGAACCATTCAGTCAAAGGTTCTTTAAAGAACCATCTCTTTTTTTTACCTTTATATAATCTGAAGAACCTTCAGATGTTAAAGGTTCTTTAGGGAACCATTTAGACAAAAAAGGTTCTTCTATGGCATCGAGAAGCACTTTTATTTTTAAGAGTGTAGGTGAGAGCATTGGTTTTATCTTATCAACCTTAAGTAGTATAAACTAGTTTTCACCACAGTATTCACTTGTTTTGCAAAATTCAGCTCTGAATCAATTATACATTCAGATTTTTTTGCGTATGGATGAACATTTCTAGAGAGGGGCCCCAAATAGCTAGAAATAAGGGGCAAAGAGCTAAGAGGGCCAAAAACAACAACATCCATTTTGCTCTCATTTAAGGAGAGAAAATTCTTAGCCATCCAGGATTTTGCATCCTCAAGACACTTAGTAGAACAATAGTAGAACAGGACTTATCAACTGGGTGTAATAGGACATACCAAAGTCACTTTAAAGTCAAAGTCACTTTTATTGTCACATCACCACAGCACATGTGCCTTGGTGAGTGAAATTCTTGGGAGCGTGCTCCAGACAGTGCAGAAACAATTTACATATAAACATACAGACCTCAACAGATGACAATGTGCAATATGCACATACATATAGTCAGTACACAATTTGTGTGCAGCACATTTTATGGAGGACTGTTTCCTGATCCTGGTAGAGTAGACTACAATGCCGGCTGTTCTGACTCAAAGACTGTAAGTACGTTTTTTTATATTTAAAGAGTTTTTATATTTTATATATTTAAAGGCAGTGTAGAGTAGCACTTGTTGTTGGTCATTTCTCCGATCACAAATGCAGACATGGTTTTATGTTTATGCGGCGCGATGCAACGCAACGCGTAAAAAGACGGTACAAGTCATTATAATCCATAATTATGTCCCCACTGGATGCAACGAATGCCTCGTTAATAATGGGTTTTCATGTTTTTGAATCATCGCTCCGGCCTGACAGGGCATCATCACAATATGGTAAGGGGCGTAACATTTCCGTCACACGCTTGAGGTATTCGGCCAATCACAACACACTGGATAGCTGACCAATCAGAGCACACCTCGCTTTTTCAGAACGATGAGCTTTGTAAAAATCGACGCGTTTCAGAAAGGCGGGGCATAGAGGAGAAACCATAATGTAATAATGAAGGCAGTTTCGGTGCTATGACAAGCCCTAAACCCTGATTGAAATCTGTCATGGATATTGTGGTCAGTTAAGAATAAAGACAGTTGGAGAAAGTCAATCTTCTCCAACACTTTCGACAAAAAAGACATTGAGGAAATAGGGCGAAAATTACTAAAATCAGATGGATCGAGATTTGGCTTCTTCAGAAACGGCTGAATCACTATGTGCTTAAAACAGGATGGAACTTATAACACCAGTGGTCAATAAGCTATTCATGATAGTCAGAACAGATGGACCAATCACACCTAACACCTCTCTAAAGAGACGTGTTGGCATAATATCCGCTGGTGAAGTAGTCAGTTTCAGTTTTAAAATTAACTCTATCAATTGATTTGGGGTGAAAATTAGCTGGGCATTGTCAGCTACAGGACTGGAAGAATTAGAGGGGTATGGGTAATTGCGTAGATTATTCGTATTTATACGCACATTGAAACTCTTCAAGAAAACTTTCCACCTAATTCATAATACGTGTGCCTTTTATAACGCCTTTTATACAGACCCATTTTACAGAGCTCTGATTAGCCGGCTGTACATGCGCTGTTATTCAGAGAAACCTCGCAGCTTGAGCTATAGTCAATAACAAAAGGTTTTCTTACCCTTTTCTTTTAGATGAAATATTATAACTATTATCCTAAGATGAAACATACATTTTGTCTTAACTAGCCTATATATAGCCAGTATATGCATAGATTAGATTATTAAGACCAGCCAGAGTGTATGATTTCTGCATTCTATTTGATGGGACTTCAAAAACAGTTCTTGCTAAGGACTCTGTATAGGCCTTAGAGAATTAATTTAGAGTTGAGGGGGCTAACACACAAGGGTAATGCACATCCTTCTGCTTGCTTAGAGGCAAATATGGAAGTAATACGTTAAACATGACAGACATATGATCAGACAAACAGCTTTCCTTAATACTGATGTTACATACTGGAAAGCCAGAAGATAGAAGAAGATCAATAGTATGTCCATGTGCATGTGTAGGACCATTAATATGTTGGACAAGGTCAAATTAATCAATAAGATGTACAACTCCTTCACCAAGTAATGGGAAGGGCAACAGACATGAATATTAAAGTCACCCAAGATTAGCAATTTATCCACAGTAGGGATTATATTAGACAAAAAAAAAGTCTCAAACTCATCAATGAAGTCCTTATTATATTTTGGTGGTCTATAAATAGGGGCACAAACCACAGGACTGGATAGTTGAATTCTCAATAATTGCAACTCAAATATATAATATTGATGAGTGAAAGGTATAAGCCTACATTTAAAACATTTTTTAAAAACTGTGGCTAAGCCTCCGCCTCTGCCCACTAATATCAGATAATTAAAATAATCACAATCCTCTTGTGTTAAGTCTGCTAATGAATCCAACTCACCATCGTTGAGCCCGGTTTCTGTCAAAAATCAGAGTCCATGTCTTGTTGATGTAAAAAAATTTTTTTTTAAATAAACGATTTGTTAATTGGGTTGATTACTGAATGTGCTCATATCATGTTAATTAGGTTAATTATTTGAACGTGTGCCTCCTGAACTTTAATAAAACATAATTTATGCAGTTACATATGTTAGCAGGCTCTTGATCTCAGATGCCTGTCAGTGTGACGACACACAGACCAAGGCTGCTCCCAAGATAGTTTGATTGACACCAGCATTTCAGCACAGACTGGACTGGTGTCTTATGCTGCGTTCATGCCATATCATAATTACCGTAATTTCGAGATGATAGCACGTGACGTTCTACTCGGAGCTGTTCACGTCCTCGACTCGGAATTATGCTTTTCTATGGCAACACTATCAACGCCTAAACAGAGCCTGTGGTGGTCAGGTGGTACAGGGGTCACGTGGTACAAGTCGAAGCTCTCAGAAAACTCCCAGTTCACAAGTTGCAATTACGAGTTCTACGAGGACATGAACGCTTTTTACAAGTTGGAATCTCGTAATTACGAGAATTCCGATATGGCGTGAACGCACCTTTACCATAGACTGTAAAGTGAGCTGTCATCAGTCCACCATTGTTTCACTGCTGGAGCAGATGTAGACAAGAATGACTCCTAAGCGATTGAGGTGTTTTGTTGTTGGATGTAATAATGAACATAGCAGTCGCCATTACTCCTGACATCTGAGCCGCTGAAGACGCAGTGGTTTACTTTTGTTTTTGAAGGGAATGCGCCCCCGATCTACCTAAATGTGTTTCTGTTTGCGCAAATCATTTGTGATCCAGCTTCACCTACAGAAGAAGTGAGTGCAAGGTGTTGTTAATGAATCTTTGCAAATCGCCTTTCCTAATAATGTGCTAATTAGCAAGTTTCACGATGAATGCGGCTAAAGTTTACCGTCTCTCAGAGAACTGCGCGTCACCCCATGGAAGAGAGGGGTGGGGTGAGCAGAGCTCATTAGCATTTAAAGGGAAATGTACCAAAACGGCTTGCTGTAAACAGAGCTGTTTTTGACAGGGGGTGGGTTACACTTTACTTGAAGGGGTGTGCATAAGACTGACATGACACCTTCATAATCATGACATGACACCTACATAAT